TTGAAACAAGAAAGTGTAGTCCATAAACATGTAGAATGAAAAAATTTTTTAATTAATTTTTTAAAAAATTTTAAAAGAAAATTAATTATAAGTTTTCTTCCAGCTATATCCACATTTGAGATGCCTATCCAGCCCATGATTTCTTCTCTGAAACCTGCTTCTCACCTAGAATGATCAGCACTTGACATAAGGAAAAGACAGAGCTTAATGGTCAGATCAAGAATTTGTCACTCAACTGTTCTGGCTGATGAGCATTCTAATATTAGCATGCTGAATGAGGTATACCTATACACAGAACTAGATATTAAAGGAAAAAATTGTAGTAATAGCTAACTCTCTCACGCTCTTACTAGGTACTGAACTAAAGCACTATGAACATTAACTCATATAATTTTCAATATCCTGTGAGGTTGGTACTATTACTATTCCTGTGTTGAAAAAAATATGATATTAAGGCACAGAAAGGTTAAGTAACTTAAATCGAGTCACATGGTTAGGAAATGACAGGGCTGTGATTTAAACTCAGGCCTTCCGACTCCAGAGATCACAGTCCTAACCAGGATGCTACTCTGTTTTTAAGTTACTGGGACCAGAAGAAACAAGATTGAGAAGTTAAAATAGTAAACCAAGATGATAAAAGTTTTCATTCTGATGCAACAACCAAATATAAAAGAAAACAAGAAACAAGTAGGGGAATATGTTTTTATTAAAAAATAATAATAATAATAAAGTATATATTCCAAAACATTTTACTTGGAAATTTTCACGAGAAATACGAAAAACAAAACAAAAAACAGTAAAGAACACCAGCATGAATACATAATGTATACTTTATTTGTGGACATATTAAATGTATCTTAATGTAATACTTCCATAACATGATGTCATTTCATACTGTGTTAAAAAAAAGAACACAGAGGGCTGGCCAGTTAGCTCAATTGGTTAGAGCACAGTACTGATAATACCAAGGTACAGGGTTCGATCTCTGTACTGCCAAGCCACCAAAAAAAATAAAGGAGCCCTGGAAGGTGGAGAGAGAAAAGAGACAAGCAATCTAAAACTAGCATATTAACTAGCTGTGGGTTTTTTAAATGCCATTAAGATGAATCTGAGAATGCTTTTAGACACAGCTCACACTTTAATGAACATTAAAGAATTTGCTGTGGGATTGTAAAGCCAGGAATGTAATTTTTATTGTGGGGTTTTACCCATGACTCTCACCTCATTCTACTGTATGCAAACGAATAAGGAAAAGTCTTTAGTCATGATTTGCACCTTAATCAGCATCAAATAATTCACAGTAGCCAGAACCTTATAAATGTAGTAAAGCAGAAAGGGCTTTAACTTAGTCTCAAAGACTAGGTAACATGAGAAAATTCATACTGGGATAGAACCATACAAATTTAAGGATTGTGGAAAGTCCTTGAGCAGAGTTTAAATTTTAGTAACCAACAGAGAATTCAAACTAAAGAGAGAAACCCTAAGTGTAAAAAATGCAACCAGGCCGTTAGGAATCAATCACCCATTAGTAAAGCCCACACTAGAGAGAAACCCTTTGAATGTAACCAAATGAGAAAGTCTTAAGCAGTGATTCATTCCATAATTCAGTATCAGAACTTCCCTACAAAAGAGAAACATAATACGCAAGGCATTTAACCAAGGGGGTGGAATGCGAAGACACAATGCTAAACCAGTACACAGGTGCTTAGAGGTGCCTTCCTGACTACCCTAAATAAAATAGCTCCCTCCCCACATCATACCAGCCCCTATACCTGCTTTACTCTTTCATTGTACTCATCATTTGACACATTACACATTTATTTCTTAAAATGCTTTGTCTAACTTCCTGCACTAGAATACAAGCTCCAAAAGAGGAGGGTGTTTTACAAAGCTACACTTTCAGTGCCTAGGACAAAATCTGGCATCTAGTAAGCATACAATAGTTGTTGAATGAATTAATTGTAGTACTTTCCTTATGTGGAGTATTTGGTATCTTGAGGTTATTTCATTCTAAATGAAACAATTTACTCAGAAGGCTTCAGCACATAAAAAAAATGTATTGTTCTTCGTTTTATAATACACCAGAATAAAAAGCATTATAACTGTTATGGTCTACAAGTTATTCTCCAATTATGCGGGGAATAGAAAGTTGTACATAAAGCACCCAGTAATACCCCCATAATTGTACCAACCAGTTAGAGACCCAAGTGGTCCACAAGGGTCATGAAGGCAAGATGGAATTTTCCAGCTTCTGAAGAGAAAGTTCCCTTATTTTCTTAGGATTAGAATCTAAATAATACTTGACTTGTCTTAAGACTGTATATATCCCTATTTGCACTGTCAACCACTGGTACAGAGGGCATGATAGTTTGGAATCCAATAGCAGCAACCTTTTTATGTAGTTTGGCACTTAGAATCATGCCTCAATTCAAAAAACATTACTAAGAACACACATTAAGCCCTATGTATAAAAGCAAACTTTAAAAATATGGAGTTAACCAGCTAGTAAGGAAAAATGTGATAGTGTGATAATATAGAAGGGAAAGATTAAGGAAATAGAACAAAGCAGCATCTAATTTTGACTAGAAAGGGCTGAAAAAAGCCTATGGACACAATACCACTGAAGCTGAGTCCTAACAGATAAATAGGTAGCCATAAAGAAAGGCGCAGAAATAATGATGACTCCAAAGAAAGGTGCTGAGATTGAAAAACCACAGAGCACATTTGGTAAAGGAACTAGAAGTGCTTGCAACTGATTGATCATTATGTTCTAAAAGGACAGTCAGTCTCTGATTCTAAAAAACATATTAAAAATTTTTTTAATCTTTATGTTTAGAAAGCACAAAGGTATTTTCATAATAAAACCTGCTAAAATGCTAACTTAAATAAAAATCTTCTGAGCTTCTCAGCAAGGGGGCTGGGGCAGGGATAAGCAGAGATTCCCCTTATCCCAAAGGCTCTATCAGAATTTTTATGTTGATGAAAAAGGAACCTGGGTTTTAAAGTCTGAGGAACACTGGACTAGAACATGATTACACAGGAAGACTGTAGAGATGAGGCTGAGAAGGTAGGCATTCTGTGTTCCCTTGTTCTGTGGAAGATACAAAAAAGAGAAAACATGAAGCAGAAGAGTTTATATGAAAGATGAAGATTCGTTGTCTGGACATATAGTCTAAGTGAAGGTATTTATTAGGCCATTAGAAATAAGGTTTAGGAAAAAAAGAAAGAAAGAAGGTTTAGAGAGCAAGAGAGAAGCTGGGATTCAAGTTACAGGTTTGGGAGTCAGCCTGATATTATAGGTGGTAGAGGAAGCCATGGCTATGAATGACATCACATAAGAAGAGTATTTGGAGTAAAAAGAAAAGGAAGAAAAAAATGAAGTGGAAAGGGGAGAGAAAGAGGAGGTAGAACTCTAGGGAAGATCAATACCTAAAAGGTAGGGAAGAAAACAAGAAGCCACAAGGGAAATGACAGAGATAACAGAGATGAAATCTGTAGCACAGATTAGCCTTTAATAGGAAGCAGGCAACCTCTTTTCCTCTAAAACAGGGGAAAATGAGTAAAGTTGGTAAGTATAAGTTGATACCATAGTATCAATTTTCTGTACAACAAGAGGAAAGGCCATATGCTAGGGGAGGGGCAGAAGGCCTGAAGTGATGAAGTTTGGCTCAGCCACAGGGGAAAAAGGGAGAGAGGCCACCCTAGTAACAAACAAAAGGCTTACATTGAGGGCTCTTCTCAAGTTGAAATGAGACACTTAAAAGTGATTCCATTCTGAAGGACTGCATGCCATTCACACAGAACTTAGCATCCCAGAAAAAGCAGGCAACAGAATTAATTCAATATTTAGGGCTTGCAGAATAACCAATCTGAAGAACAAGGGGAAGAGGTAACAACTGGTCAAAGTTCATACTGTGCCCCATAAAGCTGAGGTTAGATAGGGAAGCAAGAAATATGCAAGGGGCTGATAGTTTAGGAGCAAGGGGGGCAGTCAAGAAAAGGAGCCTGTGAAGAAACTAAAGATTGTAGAATGAAAATAAAGAAAAGAGAAAAATCAGGAACTGAAAAAGCTGGAAAAATGAGAATTGTCATCAGTTAGTGAAATTGAAGATTTCAGAAAGAGAAACCCAGGATTGTGATGTCCAAGGTGTAGCCATGAGAGTAAGAAGCTGGAATGTAGTAAAGTCACTGGGACAGATGACCAGGATATCAGCAACGTATCAGACAGACCATCCCAAGATGATGACAGGAGTTGAGGTAGTCAGAAAGACTGTGAGCAGGATATCAAGTTAGGCTCTCTGAACTTCAGCATTCACCCTTACTATTAAAGGCAAAAAATATCAAAATTTCAATACAGTATGACAAGATGTACCCTAAAAGTATATGAACTAATGGTAGACTAACCTAACTTGGTTTTTATCTTCATTACTCACTTGAGAAGACATGCATTTATTCTTTCTTTCTTTCTTCCTTCCTTCCTTCCATCCCCCCCTTTCCCCCCTCCCTCCCTCCCTTTCTTTCTTTCTTTCTTTCTTTCTTTTTTTTTGCAACTGGCCCATATGGGGATCTGGACCCTTAACCCTAGTGTTATAACACCACGCTCTAACCAACTGAGGTAACCAGCTAGCCTTATGCACTTTCTTTTAAACAAAACAGGAAAATCATTTTTAAATTTTATAAAATGCCTTAGAGAAATAAAAATTCTGAATATAAGTAATAACATGGCAAAATAATTAAACATATAATGATTCCTTTGTGGACTCTTTCATTATTTATCTTACTGGAAATGGAATTTGAATATTAGTCATAATCTTTCATTTCACCCACATTTATATCTATAACATGTATTCAAAGCAATGAAGTGACTTGATTTTAATCTATGAAGCATGACAAACATCAAGATAGGCAGATTAAAAAATAATCTAAAGATAGTTAAAGTGGTAAATTTTATGTTACATATATATTACCACAATAAAAAAATAATAATCTAAAGTAATAGAAAAAATATTTGTAAAGCTAAATTGGGTTCCTCCTTATTATTAGTGACAGGATACCTGTAGTTCAAGCTGACTTAGTGTAACATACATGCCATTTTAGAAATTAAAATCTCATTCCTTTGTATATTTAAGAATACATAAGTAAAAATGGTGATGGCGTCTAAAGAAGGGTAACCATGCTAGATGTCTTTATGTAGTGTAATATTACCAAATTCAATGTCAATATGTCCTCTTTTCTGGAACTTTCTTTTCTGTTTCATGGGTCTTTTCATTTGTTTTTTTGTTTGAAAAGGACTAAATGAACTTACTAGTTATAGTGATGCTGAAAGAAGTTCAAAATTTGTTTTGCATTGGTTGTATTCCATTCTTGTTCTTTCAGGGGTCCTTCACACACAGATACATACTTTTTCAAAATTTTTTCTCCTACTTCTCGAAAATCCAAGGGTTCCTTGTGTGTAGTACAGCTTGCTTCAGAAACACCCATATCCACTTCATGATTTTCTGGCTGCTGATCTGCACAATGCTTCAATCCCCAATAACACATTTCTCCACTGTACATCATAGCCAGCAAATGAATGTCACTAAATATTCCTGGGAAAGTCAATTAAGTTGAGAGATTAAAATTAAAAGTTTAAAAAGAAACCCTAGTTATTAATACTCTAGTAAATTCCTTTTGTCATTAAGCATTTTGCCTTCTCATTTAACAGTAATACTTAGAAAAAGCCAGATATTACTGACACAATCCTCATTTAACTAGCACTTTTACCTCTATTTTACCTATAAGAGAGGGCCATCATAAAAGCTAAACCAGAGTATTAGCAAAGAATTTTTTAAAAAGAACCATTTAGGTATTCTTTACTTTTGGGGGGTTCTCTTTAGGACCTTTTTGACAATCTAATTTAATCAGTGTAATCCTTCCCAAACTCTGCAGACAAATTCAGAGTACTCAAACTCCCTGAATTCCATCCATGGACTTTATTTTGGGGTATGCCCTAGTATTATTGATATGGCTACAGTCTAGTATCTTACATCTCCTATATTTCTCTAAGAGTCTACAGAAATTATCATGCATAATCATGCCCGAGACGCCATATGATTCTAAATTATCAGATGTTAAATTATATCTAAGATGCTTCATATTCCTAGAAAAAAGGAATAAACTGCAGGATTTTCATAAAAAGTTGAATACCAGCCAGCCACCAAAAAAATAAAAGTAAAAACAAAAGTAAAGCTTCATAAAATATTGAATGCATTCTTCTTATGGGTAGTTTTTCCAGTAGGCAATTATATAATTAAACATTTATGGTGCACAAAGTATATTAATTTGGTAGAGAGACAAATAGACCTAGAATCAAAAAGATCTGAGTATAAATTACTGGCTTTGTGACTTTGGGCAAGTCACCAATGCTCTCTGAGTCTCAGTTTGTAAATCTGAAGAAATGAGGATTTCATATGTCCTACTTAATTCATGGAGTTTTCTTAAGGAACATGTAAAATAAAAATGTGTAAAAACTTCAGAAACCATCAAGTATTATTAAAATATATGATCATATAACTTCTTAAGGCCGCTAAAGTACAAGTAAGAGATTTATTCTAATGTACAGGTACTTGTGTGATTAGAAAGGGTTATATCAAATAAATGAGCATCATAATCTCAGCTGCTCACCTAATACAGTTGCTAAAGTACAAGTAAGAGATTTATTCTAATGTACAGGTACTTGTGTGATTAGAAAGGGTTATCTCAAATAAATGAGCATCATAATCTCAGCTGCTCACCTAATACAGTTGAACAGAAATGAGTATGATGGCACTGGAGATGAAAAATTCAACTTTCAAAACTTTTAATTTCTACTGTTTTGAATCTATTGCAAACTTTTTAAAGTCTCAGAATTTGTCCCTACAGCTATCACCTTCACTTCATCTCCAATTCAACTTATAAACAGTAGGAAGAGAAGTAACAGGTTCAGCAGAATAGCTGACTCATTAAAGTATTATATCAGTAAAAAAAATAAACCATCAAAGAGCAGAATCCACTGAGACTTGCATTCATAAAAATATGATAGGCTATAATATATTATGCTTATTATTCATTTTTTTTTTTTTTTTTTGCAGCTGGCCAGTAAGAGGATCCCTATTTTATGCTCTTATGTATAAAACAACTTTCATTTAGTAAATACAATGCAAATTACAAATAATCATTTCTTTTTCCTGTTTCCTTGGTAGTTAAAAGATCATAAACCTCAAAAAAAAAAAAGCTAGATAGAGCATGATATTATTCATAAGTATTTTCTATTAGATATAGCATTTCACTGAATGAATATCCTTTTTATTTTAGTGATCTTACACCCTGTCTAATTTTTCCTCAAAAGACGAGTAGAAGGGAGTAAGGAGAGAGAAGCAAACACGGAGGGAAGGTTGAACTTTCAAGCAGGCTAGAGCCTTGAGAAGAGAAGCTAAAGTAAGTCCCCAAAGTGAAGCCACTTGGGAAGGGTGAGAATTGCATGCCTAAGGGAGATCTGAGATCCAAATTTTGCCCCATTCTTTAGGTTACCTCATTCTTTTTATCACCAAGAAGGAGGGACTACTGACCACGGTACACAGATATCCTATGAAAAGGAGTTATTAGGGAGAGAATGAATGACTATATGCTAAAGAGTGGTTCTCAAACTTCAGCCTACATTAGAATTACCTGGTAGATAGTAAAATGCTGATTGCTGGTCCCCCACTCGAGTTTCAGATTCAGGTACGGGGTTGGGTCTATGAATTTGCATTTTTTAAAACAAATTCATGGAACCTAGGGTGATGCTGCTGCTGCTGGTCCATAAACTATACTTTCAAAACTACTGCATTAAAATATCAAAGAAAGATAAGCAATGTAAAAATTAGGCACTTTCTTCCTCTCTACTTCCACAGGAGATTACTACTCTAAACACAGGCTCTTTGCTTCTAAGAATTTTCCTTGATATTTTCTTTTTCTGTTAAAACTCAGCATGGGGTTTGTCAATAAAACACTGTACTTTGTACCACACATGTCCTTGGTAAACACACATGTGACATGGGGAGGTGAGGATGGGGAGGGAGAAGGAGATTAAATCCATGAAGGGAGGAAAAAAAAAAAAAGATGACTTTCACAGGGCTGGCTGCTTAGCTCAGTTGGTTAGAGTGCAGTTTTATAACACCAAGGTCAAGGGTTCTGTTCCCCCCATACCAGCCAGCCAAGAAAAAAAAGGAAAAAGAAAGATGACTTTTAGAGAAAAAAAGATAGCCAGACTGGCATCTTCTGGAAGCAGTGATGTCCAAATCTGCATCATAACAATTTAGGGAGCTTATTAAAAATAGATTCCTGGGCTTCATATATTGAATCAGAATCTGCATGGGGTACACAGAAATCTGTATTTTTTTTTTTTTGTTTTTTTGTTTTTTTCCGTGTCCGGCAACGGATCGCAACCCTCAGTGTTGCCCCCGTACCGGACCGGGGACCGGCAACGGGATTGCAACCCTCGGCGTTGGTCCCGCGCCTCGCTCAGCCAGTGAGCGGGAACCGGTCCGCATGTGGGATCTGAACCCTCGGGCGGGAGCGCCGCCGCGCTTCCCAAGCGGCACACTATCCAGTGCGCCACCGGGCCGGCCCAGAAATCTGTATTTTTAATAAGCTACCCAGGCAATTAGTGATACCAGTTTAGAGTTGCCCCTTTAGGAGATCTGAAATCCAGGTTCTGGGTTAAGCAATGGGCCAAAGGGCTGCATGGTAGGGAGGGTCCTCAGTAATATTAAAAAGGATACAAACCAAAGGTGTGAAAACGTGACAGTATTCTGACTTACTCCATTTGATTCCAAGTTTATTATGTTTTTATAAGCCTTCTATCTAAGGCAACGTCCAAAGATTTAAATGATCTGGCCCCCACTTCACAGAAGAGTGAGGCTCTGAGGTGAGGTAAAGAGGCTTACTGCATACATAATTTGGTAATTTTTAAAAGGTGAAAACTTAATGACATACATGTAATGTCCAAAGGACATTTACAATGATCTTACCTTAGAAAAAGAAATACAAATCATACCAAGCATACAGTTTTAATTTTTATCCAAAATTAAGTAAATTATCACCAAGATCTGACCACAAAAATATTTAATGCCTCACAGAAATTTTCTCCCTAAATATTAAGAATTATTCAGAGTTATATTTTAGATTGGCTAATGAAAAACAATTAGAGCCACTACAACAGTCTTAGGAGTAACTCCGATTATAAAAAGTAGGTTTCCTAGCTTCTAATCTAATCATCTTCAGAGGGATGGACTGGGGAAAAGCAAGCACCTTTAGATTAGAAAAAGAAGTCAACCCCGTAAGAGGACTGAAGACTGTGGCGCCATGTCTGTGGTGCCCATATTTTTTTCTTCTTTCCTGGAAAATGCTTTAAGACCCTATCTAACCCTTTTGATTCTCCCGTTGAAGAAGCAATTAAAGCAAGGAGCTAGTAAATTCAAACTATGACCTGAAAGAAGGCACCAATGTCACATGCCTCCTGAAGAAAAAATTCCAGCCCATGAGACTATCTTCCCTTATGACTAGAAATGGGAGAATGAGGAAAATAGGTGACTTGTACCACTTTCCTTGGTTCTAAATAGGCTTTAGTGCCCACTCCCATCTTTTTCTTTTAAAAAGTATCCCAGGTTAAGAGTTCAATTTAATCAATCCATGTAGGTGGGATGAGGAGATTTTTAAAAGGCCATTTTTAACACTTCTAATTAGTTCATCAGTTAACTGAAATAACTAGTAACTAATAAACACTTCCCATCAATACGTCAAAACCCTCCAGTCATACTCACTGGGGGGGCTCTTTGTATTTACAATAAGTTCTTTTGGGATGTTTACCTGAATTAATAGAAAGTGACAATTCTTAGGTACCACTAGCCAGTCCCATTGTTAATGACACTTAAATCACCCTTTTTTTTAATGAAATGTTTTCAAATAGAAAGGAAAGGCTGAAGAAGATAACAGACAGGAAGAATTAAAATAAACATCTAGAATTTCCCCCAACAGGTTTTCTTATTATTTCTCATATATTTTTCCCAATCAAAATTTCAGATGAAGGGTCTGGATGGTTAGTTCAATTGGTTACAGCACAGCCTTATAACACCAAGGTCATGGGTTTGGATCCCCATAGTGGCCAGCCGCCAAAAAAAAAAAATTTTTCAGATGAAGTACAAGCGAAGAAAGTTTATATCTATGATCTAATGTCACTTGCAGTTATGTGACTGTGAGCAGATCACCTGGTTTACCAGGACCTCAGTTCCTCCATTTATAGAAAGAGATGGTAAAAATAAGTGGTTCTCGGGCTGGCCCATGGCTCACTCGGGACGCGGTGCTGATTACACCAAGGCCATGGGTTCGGATCCTATACAAGGATGGCCAGTTCGCTCACTGGCTGAGCGTGGTGCTGACAACACCAAGCCAAGGGTTAAGACCCCCTTACCAGTCACCTTTAAAAAAATAAAATAAAATAAAAATAAGTGGTTCTTGTCTCCCTGAACTTCAGTCTAAAACCCAAATGATGCTCTATATGTAGTTCCTAGATTTTCACTGCAGCAGAAACTTATAGTTGCCACCCAATATTCATTCTCTCCTCCCTTTTATAGTAATGAACCTTAATTTTATTTGGAATGGCAATGTATTAGGTTAAGAACTATACTTCCCAGGTTTCCTTAAAGCTAGATGAAGTCTTCTGATTAAATCTCTACCAGTGAAATATAGGTGGAAATGTTGTGAGAACTTCTGGGAAGGCTGCTCCAAAGGAGCTGACTTGGCTGGAAGAAATTCTCTTTGGCCATTCTTGTAGCCTGAAACATAGGTGAGATGGAAGGAGCTCCAGAAGCACATTGGGATACTAATAATGTAAGCAATATCCTAAACAAGGATGCATATTGCACAGCTCTGGAAAGTATAACTTATATTGAACTCTATATAAAGTGCCTCCCTCTGACACCGAAGAGCTCTTGCTCTAAAGATGATGGAGGAAAAAGATAAGAACATGATGATGCCATGGGGCCACCGTACCAGCTCTGGATCTTTTTTATGTGAAAGAGCACTAAATGTCTACCTTGTTTAAACTTTCTTCCAGTCTGTTACATGTAGCCAAACCTAGTTCTGATAAAATACTGATCAGGGCTATGTGGGGATACAAAATAAATAAAAGTAACACAATATATAACTCTTCCAAAATTACTAAACAGAAGAGATTGGAAGTATTTTTCTATATTACATGAAAACATTTTAATCTTTGAATTTCTTAAAAGCCCTTTATTATTTCTTTGGTCTATAAACTAGTTTGAAATTTATTTAAATCAGAGTGAAATGTTATAAACTTCCTAAAATATTAAAAAGCTTTAAACAACTTAGAAAACTTTTAAAAAAGAGTTCACATTACCTGCACTCAGTAATTTAGCTGTGTCTAGGTCTTGGAAAGAAACTCCTTCATTTAACTGGATAGGACACCGATAATTTAGCATCTGTAGCAAGTAACGGATTCCATCAACAAGGTACTAAATGAAAGCCAAAGCCAAAGAATTGAAAGTTTTATATGCAGAAGTATATAAACTTCAAATATTAGTTTTTTCCAATTCTTTACTCAAGAGAAAATGAGGTAATTTATAGATATATCTTCTGACTGTTATATTTCAATGGTATAAGGACCCACCACCCTAAGACTTTCAAAATATAAGTATACCCTTCCAAATGCTCTCATAAGTAAGAGTACAGAAAACAAAAGAAAAAATAAAGAAAACATTAACCAAGAATACATGTTTCAGCAATATATTTGTCAAGAATATTATCAGAGGAAGAAAAGGATAAAAATAAAGATGTGTTCAACAACAATTTATTAAAAATATGTATGTACTTATTATAAATTAGAAATATTATAATGAAACTTTTACATCTTAAAGTATGACCTCCCATTTCCATGCTCACCTTAACTATGTGTACATTTAACCTGAGTTAGAATCCTTAGTGATACAATACTAAGACCCATGTCTTTAGATTTAATGACCAGAACATTCAAGATGAATCAGAGGGCCACAATTTTCTATAAGCAGGGTCATGTGAGTTCTTTAGGAGTGATGTGCTGACAGAAAGACACTCACAACCAAGTGTTTTCTTCAAACCAAAAATGCATGCTTGGAAATTAATAGTTTATCTTATATTTAAAAAATAGAAATCCAGAACTTAAAAAAAGCACGTAGAACTTCCCAGTTTTCAAAGTGCTTTGCCATGTTATCTTCCTAGTCTTCACAACAATCCCCATTTGTTTATAACTACACAGCTAGTAAGTAAAAGACCTAGAATGCAAACCTTTGATTCCACTACTCAATACTATAACAAACACAGCTTTTGAAGCCTATAAATGTCAATAATCAAAATGTGTAATGAATGTCTTTTTACCTTTTTAAGCAAACTAGATTTTCTTAAGAGCCAGTCTCTTCTTTTGGTCAGAGAATGACAATACATATATAGTAAAGCTCCTCGTCTCCAAGAGAGACATTCCAGTAGCTCATCCCCAAGCAAATTGCAGTGCTGAAACACAAAAAACACATAGCTAAATAGAGAAACTTGATGTCTGCAAAAGTCAAAGTTAAATTTCAAAAAAACTGAGCAATGGAAAGCACTTTTATTTCACAAAATCTGCCCTTTGGTTAGTTACTTACACAGGAATGCCTTACTTTGAATCAATTAGAAATACATATGAAAATCTATTGCTATGTGAAATTTAAAATAACTATTTCAATTTACAATTAGTTTTACAAAATATTTTGTAAATATATTTGAAATATACATAGTCTATAATCTGATTAAAAAGATAACTTTTCAGAAATATGTAACTTGAAGGGGTATCATATCTATTTCTACTATGGCTAGAATAATGAAAAGCTATACACAAAACTATTTTAATAAATCAAAACTTTTACAGTGGTGTATCATTTAAATCTGGGAATGATTTGTTTCCACAGATGGTTAGTCCCCTGATAAACATATAGAGCAAAGAAGATATTTAGGTAGATAGTCAGCAGGTAGTTAAAGATGGGAAATTATTTGGCTAAAAGAGTATCCAAGACTAGAAATTAAAATTTTGGAATCCTCTAAATAGAGATGACAGTAAAAACCATGTGAACAGTAGTCNCTAGAAATTAAAATTTTGGAATCCTCTAAATAGAGATGACAGTAAAAACCATGTGAACAGTTGTCAAGCAGAAACAGAATAAAGACTATCAGAGGATGAAGGAGACATCCTTGGGGAGTGCCTATGTTTCCAGAATGAAAGAGAGGGCAAAAGCACCAACAGATTATGTTCATTGGCAATCATATGAGGACCTTAAGTTTTCCCAGATGAAGCCTAGCCTGTACTTACACCAGATTCTAATTGCTTTAACACCCACTATTCACCTGAATTAAAAGCAACTTCTTTGGCACTGTCTTCCCATCTTTCCTCAGCCCAGGAGTAACATCCACACAACCCACAAAAAAAGATTCTACTATGAATTGAAATTATATCTGTTTCGATACCTGTGTGTAAAGTTCTAGAAGATCTGATGGATTTGAACATTCTTTCTCTTCTCCACACAGGAGTTTCAATTTTTCTAGAGCTGCAGAGGCCCTAATTAAAAAGTGATCTGTAAGGAATAAAAACATGATAATTATTTCACAGAGTGCTATTTAAACAAAAAAAAGTTATGTATCTGAAATAATGAAATGAAATTATATTATAGCATATGGAGAAACAGCATGGTAGTAATAATACCTTACCTAAAACATGAAGTATGTCATAATGACTAATTCTAATTAAGTAAATCATGGAAATTTTTTTCCAGAAAGCAAGACTGAAAACTTTCTAGATTCACTGTTGCTATTTCTTAAATGCAGTCCATACTCTCATAGTGCTTTTTCATGATACTGATGCACTCAAAAGGTTTAAATAATACATTTAAAATTTCTACTGGAATAGTACAAATAATATACATAAATCTACACAAAGGGCTTCCACTGAAAACTTATTTCATAAATGTAATTGTAAATGTTTTCTAAAAGAACATGATTGACCAAATCAAATGCTTCATAAGATGTCAGCACACTGAGCAATTATAACTTTACCATAATTGTGTTTAGAACTGTTAGAATTAAAATTACATAATGCAGCTGTGTATTCTATCCCTTTAAAAACTTAGAAATGGAACAAATTATTCACTCCTTCAAAACCTGGAAGAAAAGGAATTGAATACTTCTAATATGCCCTCTAATCATGACTCACCCTCTCTCCTCCTTGTCTCCTAATTTTTCCCCTTTCTTTAATGTCATACTCCCTTTGCTTCCTCTATGATTTCAACTTTTTTTTTTCTTTTTCTCTTTGGTGGCTAGCCACTACAGGGATCTAAACCCTTGACCTAGGTGTTATGAGTAAAAAAATTTTTTTGGCAGCTGGCCAGTACAAGGATCAAAACCTGGACCTTGGTGTTCGTACCACCATTAATCAACTGAGCTAACCAGCCAGCCTTCACCTTTTCTTGTGTATCCACATCAGATACTATCCACCCCTTTGAATCACCTCATGTAGTCAAATTTAAATATGCCTACTATCAAAAGACAAGTTCCTGAGTTTGCCCATCTGTGCTTCCCTTGTGAAATATATACCCTTTCCTCCTCACTGGCCAATGGATAGATAATGTAGCAGTTGTTGCAGGTCCATGTCATCTAGACTTAGTAGTTACATAGACAGATGAGCTGTTCAGTATTGGAGCAAAAGCACCAACAGATTATGTTCATTGGCAATCATATGAGGACCTTAAGTTTTCCCAGATGAAGCCTAGCCTGTACTTACACCAGATTCTAATTGCTTTAACACCCACTATTCACCTGAATTAAAAGCAACTTCTTTGGCACTGTCTTCCCATCTTTCCTCAGCCCAGGAGTAACATCCACACAACCCACAAAAAAAGATTCTACTATGAATTGAAATTATATCTGTTTCGATACCTGTGTGTAAAGTTCTAGAAGATCTGATGGATTTGAACATTCTTTCTCTTCTCCACACAGGAGTTTCAATTTTTCTAGAGCTGCAGAGGCCCTAATTAAAAAGTGATCTGTAAGGAATAAAAACATGATAATTATTTCACAGAGTGCTATTTAAACAAAAAAAAGTTATGTATCTGAAATAATGAAATGAAATTATATTATAGCATATGGAGAAACAGCATGGTAGTAATAATACCTTACCTAAAACATGAAGTATGTCATAATGACTAATTCTAATTAAGTAAATCATGGAAATTTTTTTCCAGAAAGCAAGACTGAAAACTTTCTAGATTCACTGTTGCTATTTCTTAAATGCAGTCCATACTCTCATAGTGCTTTTTCATGATACTGATGCACTCAAAAGGTTTAAATAATACATTTAAAATTTCTACTGGAATAGTACAAATAATATACATAAATCTACACAAAGGGCTTCCACTGAAAACTTATTTCATAAATGTAATTGTAAATGTTTTCTAAAAGAACATGATTGACCAAATCAAATGCTTCATAAGATGTCAGCACACTGAGCAATTATAACTTTACCATAATTGTGTTTAGAACTGTTAGAATTAAAATTACATAATGCAGCTGTGTATTCTATCCCTTTAAAAACTTAGAAATGGAACAAATTATTCACTCCTTCAAAACCTGGAAGAAAAGGAATTGAATACTTCTAATATGCCCTCTAATCATGACTCACCCTCTCTCCTCCTTGTCTCCTAATTTTTCCCCTTTCTTTAATGTCATACTCCCTTTGCTTCCTCTATGATTTCAACTTTTTTTTTTCTTTTTCTCTTTGGTGGCTAGCCACTACAGGGATCTAAACCCTTGACCTAGGTGTTATGAGTAAAAAAATTTTTTTGGCAGCTGGCCAGTACAAGGATCAAAACCTGGACCTTGGTGTTCGTACCACCATTAATCAACTGAGCTAACCAGCCAGCCTTCACCTTTTCTTGTGTATCCACATCAGATACTATCCACCCCTTTGAATCACCTCATGTAGTCAAATTTAAATATGCCTACTATCAAAAGACAAGTTCCTGAGTTTGCCCATCTGTGCTTCCCTTGTGAAATATATACCCTTTCCTCCTCACTGGCCAATGGATAGATAATGTAGCAGTTGTTGCAGGTCCATGTCATCTAGACTTAGTAGTTACATAGACAGATGAGCTGTTCAGTATTGGAGCAAAAGCACCAACAGATTATGTTCATTGGCAATCATATGAGGACCTTAAGTTTTCCCAGATGAAGCCTAGCCTGTACTTACACCAGATTCTAATTTTTTTTTTTTTTTTTTTTTTCTTGAATTAAAAGCAACTTCTTTGGCACTGTCTTCCCATCTTTCCTCAGCCCAGGAGTAACATCCACACAACCCACAAAAAAAGATTCTACTATGAATTGAAATTATATAGCACTCTTAGGTGCTTCTATGGAGACTCTGTTGATATTTTAACTTGCAGAATTATTTTAAATGTAAAGACTTGCACTGAACTCAGTAAACCATTCCTGAAGGAGTATGTCACATGAACTCATGACTAATTATTGTGTAGGGGAGTGGTGGTGGCATAGATCACATTTCAAAAAAGCCCATAAAAATGCAGTATTTTTACTAGAACTATTTAGTCAAAGTAACAACTGACAAAGCAAAAGATGAAAGTGATTCTTACATAATCTCTGGAAAAAGTCCCTCTCATGGCATACTTCCATATAGTAAACATAATGTGCTTGTACAATGAGAAATAAACGAAAAAAAAGTTGGCCAGTAATAAAAAGGAGAACATTCTTAGAAAGAATATGTCTACAGAGTATGGTACTAACAACATCAAGGTCCAGGGTTTAATCCCTATACTGGCCAGCCACCATTAAAAAAAAGAAAGAAAGAAAGAAAAATGTCTGGCTGTATTTCAGGAACTTATGAACACCTATAACTTAATATAAATATATAGTTGTTACATTAAAAGACAAATTCTGAATGTATATTATTTTTGTTGTGTGGGAAAAAAATGCCAAGTTCAACTCAAATACATGCAACCTTGTTTTAATTAAACTTCATAAAATATTGCTAGTAATACTTCAGTAAGAATGAATTGATGTTAATACTGATTAATAGCTCATTATGGGGATCACCGTCACTGTAATTTAAGTTTCCTAAGTTTTCAGAAGTATAAAGCCTCCAAACAAGAATATAAATAGCACAGGACTCTTACTTCCAGCCCTCATTCTAGACTGTATTAAAGAACTTTTCCAAGGGAAAATGAGAATGGCTTTTGGGTTCAGTGATAAGTTAATAATAATAAAAAAAAAATCTTTGATCTCTTTGGACTGGTTTAAATGGAGCTAGAATTGGAGGTAACCTGGATACATTTCCAGGTGATAGCCACTACCATTCATGAACTATCCAGGTAAATCCTGGGATTCACATATCACAAACTAAAAAAGAAATCAGCTTCACCGTGGTATGTGGGTCTTTGAAGAACACACTCCTGAGAAAAGATAATCCGGCAAAGAATCTCCCATTTCATGGTAAACCCTATTCAGTAAATTCACCAACTATTCAATCGCTTGGGAAAATGTCTCACTACTCTTTTCCTATGAATCCGATGACAACGAGTCAGTCCACAAGAATTTTAAAACCTATTTGTAGTAAAGGCTCGAAACTCAAAAAGGAGTAATATAGAAACTGCAGGCAGCTGAAAAGTAATGAAAATAAAATAAGACTTAAGATTAGAAGATCAAGGTCATCCTAGTCTAAGCCAGTTTTTCCGAGAAAAGATAATCCGGCAAAGAATCTCCCATTTCATGGTAAACCCTATTCAGTAAATTCACAGAAATTTAAGGAAACAGACGTTTACAAAACAAATGTTCTAATACTCAAAAAGCCCTTCTGAGAATTGAGATGATGTACGTGAAAGAATCGTCTAAATTATACCGAAGTAAAGCTCTTCTGCAGAATACTGTTTACAGACGAATTTTTAATCCAAAATATAAAACGGAAATTTACAACGCAGCAACGAAAAAGTGCAACTGTTACACATACCTATCTAACTTTAATGAATGGAAAATCGCTATTATGTGAGTACTATCCCTCAATTTAACCATTTAAATAAACTTTCGCGTGTACTTTTATCCAGACTACCCTTTTCCCCATCGCTACCGTTATTACTGTTAAATCCAACAGCACAGATCCGGCTGGGTTGAAAAAGACCAGATTTTCCCGGGTTATGAAAAACGCGGTTTTCGGAGCAAACGCCTTGGCGATGTGAACTTTGGGGGGTGAAAATCGACGGCGCAGCGTGGAACAGACGCGCAAGACCTCGCGTGGCTACGGCCTGGGACCCCACCGACCACAGGCCGCAGTCTCCAACCCTCATGACCATCAAGCGCCGGCCCTGAACAACCGCCCGCTTCGTCCGCCTCCCTCTCTGCTCCCTCACCGTCTTCACCCGCGGCTTCGCTAAGTTGCTGTATGTGGGCCTGAGCCAGGTCCCCGAGCTCTTCCACTCGCTTCACCACACTGGAACCAGCGGCCTCCATGGCCACAACTGGAGGGCGCGCCCCGGCCACGTGACCGCGCCGTCCGGCGATCACCTGATCCCCCGGCAGGGCGAGGCGAGGGGCGGAGCCCGCCTGGTAGGTAGGAGGAGACATCAGCTCCGGAAGAGGGCAGGCCTAGGACTGCAAAGGTCATTCCGGGTTATTCTTTTCTTGCGGAACTTCTCCCTCCCTCCCAGAATCCTGAGCAACGGGGAGCGTGTAAGGTCGGGTGTGACGACAAGGCACGCCTCTCTCCCGCCTTCTCCTCTAAGCCAATCGGGAGCCAGCCATGCCCTCAGGCTGACCAATGGGAAGTCAGCTCTATCCGTTGGGGTGCCCGGAAGAGAGTTTGGCATCCTCTGGCTGGCCGCATGCAGTTTGAAGCCAGAGCTCCCGCATCCTTTTTCAACGCTACGTCCTTGGTCCGTGGTCAGGAGGGCGGACCGGAAGGTCTGGAAAGAGGACTGTCGGCTTTGGCCTTGTGTTAAGGAGGTTGCCTAAAATAAAATAATTTCCTGGTCAGAAACGGAAAGCTTGCCGGCTCCCGTGTAGCATACTGAAGTCTCCCAGAGGTTGTTGTACGTCTGGGTGGGGAGCTCTAAATGCCAGTGGAAGTTCCCGGTCTACGTGGTTGAAGGTCGCTTTTCTAAATTTGAATTTTAGCAGTTGGGTTTCTTTAGTCTCTGACCTCAATTGGCTAACGAACATTGAAAGTACTCTAACCATGTCGCGGCTAGTGGTACTAAATTTGCAGCTTCGAAACTATTTCTGTTGCCCTAGGTCTGAAGCCGCCAATTGTGCGTGGGGGCATAATTAACTGGGCATTTCAAAGCACTCAGTCAACAAGTCTGATTTACACTTTGCATTCTTAGACCGCTTTCTTGTCTCTGGTAAGACAAATCTGTAACTGTTTATTTGTTTTACAATTTGACAAAGTATAACTTGAATAATCTTCATCCTATGTTATCTCTTTAAAAAGGAAGTTTTTTATTTCATAGGAAATATTAAAAATAAGGAAATCGTGTGTTTTGATTTATAAGTGATTGATCACAATGACTTTCTAACTGACGTCTGTAACACCAGTTTCCTCCCCTGTCAGTTCACCCTAAATATAGGACAGGAATCGAGTATTAATTCTGTGTCCTCGGTGCCTAGAACAGTATCTGGCACATACTATTCAGAAAATGTTTATTAATTGAGCAAAAACTCCATGTTACCTTGTGAAAATCGTTGTTCCGCTTATAATTGAGAAGCTGAAGGCCAGAAAGACTGCATTATATGATCGAGGTGGGCTAACAAATCAAAACTCTTAATAGGCATTTGGCACCTCAAAATGCCAGACCTCACTAAGTATATTATCTAAAAAAAATTACAGTTCTAATAATACATTAAATGGCCATGGACTTTCAGCAGGAAACATACTTAACACTGCAAAGTATCGCCCAACTGATACTCTGTTGTGTGCTTATCTTCAAAGAAGTTGGAAGGGGTTTGAGAATATGTATTGCAGCCCCTCATTTCCAGATGATGAAAGTGAAGAGGATGTGACTGTTTACCCCTCCAGACCCTCGAATACATGATTTTGTGATTTGTCCAGGATTATACCAAAGTAAGCATCCTTAGATGTCTGTGTCCTCACAGAGAGAAACAGATAACAGCCAGCCTTTATCAAGGCACACTGAGTGAAGTGCTTAAAGCCAGAGAACCCTGCACTAGAAAAGAAGAAATATGAGTAATTTCTCTCCAATTTATACTACTTATTTTTACTTAAGGAAATCCACATGAATAGAACAAATGAAAAATATGATCCATATTAAAAATTTTCAGAGAAATTAATCACTATCAATCTACCAAAAATATATTCAAAAACAAATAATTGATCTCAATTGTGCCATTTTCTTCCCCACTGATATATAATGGATAAAATCTAATTAGCTAAGAAGAAATTAATTTTTAGGGATGTTTATAAGAAATGTGAAATCTTTTCTAAAATAAAATTCTTGATCGTCCTTGAATTACCAGTACTTATAATTTGTACCTTTCAGAACCTTCCTGTAAGTGCTTTATATTTTTTTGTGTGGGTCTTATATAAATCCTCATATAAACTTGCCAACTCTTTGTGACTAGGGATTGAGTTTTATTTTCTTTTTCTGTTGCCACCAGTTACTTGTATGTAAAAAGATATGATTTGATTTGAGAGATCAGAAGAGGAATGTCTGAGGAAATGATATTAACACCTAACTGATAAATAAAATTAGCCAGGTGAAGAGTGGAGAGTGTATCAGTCTGATCCAATCAAGGGAAACCACATGGTAACTTGAACAGTGAAAATTTGATATGAAGAATTATTAACTACATAAAAGGGGATTGGAGTGACAATAGATTGGCTAGTAAGAAATAAGAAAGCTCTGAAGAGAAGAGGAATAGCAGATATAAGGAACAGCCATTACCCCATGTAGTTGATTGAATTATGTCCCCCCAAAACTCATTGCAGCTTGAATTGTGTCCCCTGAGTTTTATGTATAAGAAACTTAGCCCCCACTGTGACTGTTAGGAGGGTGAGAAATCCTATTGTGATAATTGAAACGTGGAGCCTTGAAGAGGTGATTGGATTGTAGGACCATGTAGTAGTGAATGGAATAAAAATGGTGGTCAGGAGCGTGGTTCTGAGGGCATTAAAAGAAGAGGAGACTCTGTCTGCTCTCTGTGCTTCCACCGTCTTGCAATGTGAGACTCCTGGGTCACTGTCACCACCACCAGATAGACTTTGGACTTCCCAGCCTCACAAACTGAAAGCAATAATTTTCTTTTTCTTTCTAAGTCACTCAGTTGGAGGTATTTTGTTACAAGCAACATAAAAGGACTAATACACCCTGGGACTGAGTCCAAACCTTGTTGGAGAGCTCACAGCCATGGGTCATTGGATGGCAGAGAAGTCACCGTGGGCCATACCAGTAGAACTTGCTGGAACTCCATCCATTGGAACTTGCCAGAAATCTGTCCCCTAGGGTGTTAGGGAGAACTGTTCATACAGAAGTATCTCACAGGAGGCACTCTGCTACAAAACTGCCTAAGGTGGATGTCAGGAGAAGCTGTTGGCTGCCATGCACTATGGAAGTCTGGTGCCAAAGCAGTTGTATCTGTGGCAGGAGGCTGGTGTAAGCAAGCTGCCCATGCTTCAGGAGCCTGCCAAGAAAGGACACCAAGACCAGGAAAGAAGACCTTTCGCCTCCTACAATGTCTCTCTATTTCCCTCTACTGTCAAAGCTTAACATTGTATCAGCTGTCAAAGGAAAAAAAAATATTTATTTTGTGCCAGATATATTGGCAAAAGAACATTTTTAAATATTTAAAACATTTGGGCTGGCCCCCTGGTGCACTCGGGAGAGTGCGGCGCTGGGAGCGCAGCGATGCTCCCACCACAGGTTCAGATCCTATATAGGACTGGCTGGTGCGCTCACTGGCTGAGCGCGGTGCGGGCGACACCAAGCCAAGGGTTGCGATCCCCTTACTGGTCACGAAAAAGACAAAAAATAAAATAAAATAAAAATAAAAATAAAACATTTATATTTTGTGCCAGATATATTGGCAAAAAACAGGCAAAAAGAATAAATTGGAGCTGAGAGGCAATAAATCTATAACTGGCACAGTGTGGAGGAACATATCAGTTACAGTAGATACCATGAGCAAAGACTCATTTTGGAAAGAGCTTGGCAGTTTGGAGGAATGAAAGAAGGTTAAAGGCCCCTGGAGCAAGGTGGGGAGTGGAGCATGGTAAGGCTGAAGCGCACATGTGGAGGTTATTTCTTGAGTGGATGCCTTGCTCACAATTGTGGAAATACATCCCCAAATCCTGGTGTGAGCCCTCACTGGCCACGTCTGTATTTGCTGACCCTGCCTCTGGCCATGACCCATTCATATATTCAATTAGGTCATTAATTCAGTATTTATTTATTTTTTTAAAGATGACTGGTAAGGGGATCTTAACCCTTAACTTGGTGTTGTCAGCACCACGCTCTCCCAAGTGAGCTAACTGGCCATCCATATATAGGGATCTCTGTACCTGTGGCCTTGGCGTTATCAGCACCACACTCTCCCAAGTAAGCCACGGGCCAGCCCCTTAATTCAGTATTTAATGAATACCTTTTATGTGCCAGGCACACATTAAACAGTAATGAAAACAGACCTAACTTCATGGAGATAAAGCCAAGGGTAAAATCTGATAGAGGCCAAGCCAATCAGATTCTTTCTCCTGATAATTTGAAACTTTAAAAAGCACAGAGATAAGACTAATCAAATCACTGTCAGTATTCCAGAGAGACAGATCCACTAGCTGTTGCTGAGGTTCCTGGGGGAGAACTTGGTTTCTTCATCTCCGTAAGTCTTGGTTGCTCAGGTTTTTCTTAATTGTCTCCACCCTAAAAACAATCTGAGTCCATTTATGTTGCTTGCAACCAAAAGAACAGAATACAACATGGGTGTAGGTTACTCTAGTAGGGGTGTACCCTACCCCTAAGTCAGGTAGGGCCTCTAATGCCATGTTAAAGATTGTGGATTTTATCTTACATGGAACAGGAAGTCACTGAAGTATTTTAAAAAGGAGTGGCATGATCAAATGTTATTTTAACAACTTCATTCTGGCTGCTGTGAGGAGAATGGAATGGCTGGAGTGTGAAAGAGAAGTGAATAGTTCAGTTGGGAGACTTTTTCTGGATAAGAAATGGAGTAATTCATACTAGAGTGGGGACAGTGGAAATGGAGAGATGTGAATTAATTTGACACACTACAGAGGTAAAAATCAATGGGACCACATAAGACTTGTGCACCATGCACAAATCCCACACGTCGGGATGGCTCACTTCACAAAGACCATGAGACAGAGACCATTGCAATCAAGCAAGAGGAGTTTATTCCAGCATGCTGGGGTCGCTCAGTCTCCTGGACAGGAGCAGCCCCAAGCTCTTAACACAAGCACTTTTTATACAGTTTTTTTGACAGACT